AAGATCATTCTTATTTTCTGTAGGAAACGTTTGATCAAATATTTCTTGTTTCTCTTGTTTAGGTTTAAAGTCATTAACAATATTCTTCTCTTGTAACTGATTGGATATTGTTTCAAGTCTTTTGGTAATTGGAGAAAATGTGTTTTCATAAATAGACTCATCTTGTTTTAACAAAGTAATTTTTTGCTTTACTTCTTCTCTTTTTTAAATTAATTTCTTTAGATTTTTTTGTTTCTGTGACATCTAATCTTTTTTTTAAGTTCATAATTAATAAAATTTTATTTTGATTCAACGAAAACAAAAACTCTGAATACCGTCTGCCAACCGTTCGCAAACCGTCTACATACAAACCGTAAAAAGCGTTTATAAACCGTAATACAACTGCAAAACGCGCAAGCAAACTGCAAAATCGTTAACAAACCGTATTTAAACTGTAATACAACTGCAAAACGCCAGTGGCGGCTCGTCAAGGGTGGCAGGGTGGGCACAGCCCACCCAATTTAAATAATTAAATACAATTTTTCAAAAATATTTTTACTTATAAATAATATTTCATAAAAGCAATAATATATGTATTATTTATCATTTCATCAATATGTATCATTTATTAACTGTTATTTTATAACTAACGTGCAATCCGCTGTCTTTTCTAGCCGCTTGAAATAGTCAGACTGGGCATGCCACGGTACCGAGTTGTAATCTCAGCTCTACGCTTGGGAAGCGTAAGTGGAAGACGTATGTTATCGAGCAGCGAAACGGCGATGACGCAGCTCTAAGTTTGACCAACGCTTGATCAGCAGCGGTGGCATGCCCAGGTTCAAACTCTTAAGCTGTAAAATTCATACTTTTAAATTTACTAAATTCAATATTTTCATCACAACCATCAAAAGATTAATACATACTCGTATTTTTTATTTATTTTAATAGTTATATTTTAAAAACTCTCATTATTACGACTCAATCATGACAAGAAAGCAAAGTACGACAAAAATTATAAATTTCTATTAGTTTTAGTAAAACGTATTGTTTGTTTCAAAATTATATTTATTATGTTTTTACATAGTTTAGTACTTTAGAGTCCTTTATAGGTAAATATTATAAATTCACGATTAAATATAATTTTTTATCACTTAAATTATTTTTAGTGATGAGAAAACGATTTTTATCTACAAAATATTTTTACCAAGATATTTAAACTTGTAATTTTTGTAATCTTTTGGTCATTCTCCTCGTATTTAACAAAAAGTTATGATTCCGAACGTGGTATTTTCTTGAGATGCTGAATTGCTGAATGCGCTATTTATTGCAGACGTTGTGTTACTGGTATTAACGAAGTGTCAGAGTACTAAGAATCCACAATAATAAAAAACGTATTAATTGGTGTGATTTTCACTGGTGTCTTGTGTTTTCTTTTTGTGGTGGTGCAAATTGGCGATAAATATGGCCTCAATAAGGGATGTGGTGGGCAGTAATGGTGATGTTGTGAATTATTTGTTGGAAAACTCGAGTAAGGTCTTATCTTTCGATGAGAAATTTTTCCTTAAAAATTTACCGAGACCCACGCCTTCATTAATGAACCTCACCAATACTAATACAAAGACAGCAAACAGGAAATTTTGTACATCATGGTACAATAAATATCTGTGGCTTACAGGTTGTGAGACCAGGGCAAAATTATATTGTTGGCCTTGTATATTATTTAGTACAAATGATAAAAGTCCCTGGAAAACAACAGGAATAGACAATTTGAAAACCTTGTATAAGTCTCTAGAAACGCACAATAAGTCTAAAGAACATACATATTCAGCTTTAAAATTTAAATTATTTGGGATTCAAAACATTCAAAATTCTGTAGATTCAGCTCACCGTGCTGCTGTAGTCAAACACAATGAAACCGTAAAGGAAAATCGTGAAATTTTGAAACGACTTATCGACATGACAATATTTTTGGCAAGTCAAGAGTTGGGTTTTCGTGGGCAAGACGAGAAAAAAGATTCCCACAATCAGGGTAATTTTAGAGAACTTGCAGAATTTTTAAGTTGTTACGATTCTAAATTTGGAGAATTTTTAAAATCATTTCTGTTTTTAGTGGCATGTCTAAAACTATACAAAATGATTTAATTGATTGTGTTAACCATGTTGTCATGCAGAGTATTGAATCGGAAATAAGTAAGTCTATTTGTTTTTCCTGGCAAGTTGATGAGACGACTGATATATCTTGCCATTCGCAATTATCAGTTATTTTTCGTTATATTCACGATGGAGAAATTAGAGAACGGTTTTTGGGCTTCTTTGATGTTAGTTCAGGACGTACGGTAGACGATTTATTTAATTTACTATCTGCACATTTTGAAAAATTTAATATAAAAGATAAATTAATAGGGCAAACTTATGATGGAGCCTCAGTGATGGCCGGAGAGATAAATGGTTTACAAGCAAAAATTAAAACCATTGCTCCTCAGGCTTTATTTACACACTGTTATGCGCATCGTTTAAATTTAATTCTGCAGGATTGTGTTAATAAAATTCAGGAATGTATTTTTTTTTGCAACACTTACAGGAATTTCGGCCTTTTTTTCGAAATCTACTAAACGTACAAACATTCTAGATTCTGTCAGCAGCAGAAGAGTACCAACTAATTCTCAAACCCGTTGGAACTTCAAGTCACGAATCGTTCAGACTGTGTTAAATCATAGAGAAGAACTGCTTAATGTTTTTGAAGAGATTTTGAAAAGTCCAGATTTTAGTAAAGATTCTATAACAATTCGGGAAGCAATTGGTTACCAAAAATTTTTAAATAATTTTGACACAGGTTTTTTACTTAGTATATTTAATTTAATTTTTGAACAAACGGAGTTAATCTATTCTATTATACAAAGTAAATTTACTGCTATTTTCTACTGTAAGACAAGAATAGAAAATCTTTTGCAAACCCTTCAAAGTTTTAGAAGTGACGAAACGTTTTTTACTTGATTTTATAACGATACGATTAGTAATTGTGGTCCACTTGCAAAAAGAAGAAAATATGATTTAGCTGAACCTAAGACTTCATATGTGAGACTATTTAATGAAATATTAGACATAATAATTACACAAATTGAAATTAGATTCGCGGACTTTGAAAAATTAATTTTCTTTAATTTATTAAATAGTGAGAAATTTAGTATATTTCAAAAAAAGTTTCCAAATGATTTATTAAATAATTTGTGTATGATTTACCCTAAACTATTTGTTAAGGATAAATTAGAAAATGAGTTAAGAGTCTTATATTCCGACAATACGTTATTAGGTGAATCAGCAGAACTAAAGGACAAATTAAAATTTATAACTTCTAACTTGCTGCAAGACGAAATTGCCGAAACACATAAATTATTGTGTTTAATTTTGTCATTGCCCGCGACATCTTCTTCTGTTGAAAGATCTTTTTCTACTCTTAAGAGAATAAAATCTTTTAGTAGAAACACAATGACCCAAAACCGTTTAAATAGCCTAGCAGTAATTGCCATAGAAAAAGAACTTGTAAAGACACTTCGAAAAAATTCCAGTTTTTTTGAAAGCATTATCGACAGATTTGCGCAAGTGAAAAATAGGCGTATTAATTTAACATACAAACAAGTCTAAAATAGAGTTTTACGACTTTTTGCAAGAAGGTTTTCTTTTCATTTTTTAATATCTTTCTAGATATATTTTATATTTCGGGTTTTGTTTCTGTTTAAAAAAAAATTCTATTTTTCTTTGTTAGAGTTAAAAATTAGTTTTATTTAAAAAATCATTTTTGTTTATTTTATTTAAGTTTGTTTTTAGAAAACAACATTTATTTACGTATTGTTTACTTTTTTGAGATTATTACTTTGTTATACATCTAAGTACCTACATGTTTGTTTGCACACTTGCCCACCCAACAAAAATTTTTACGAGCCGCCGCTGCAAAACGTGCCAGCAAACCGTCTGAAAACCGCTCGTTAAGCGTAAAACCGCCTGAAAACCGCTCGTTAAGGGTAAAAGCGTTAATAAACCGCTACAGAAACATATA